ATTATAATTTAAGGAGCTTTACGGTCGAGTAAATTAATAATGATGACGCAGAAGATTTGTATCGGTTTTTTTTTTTTTTTAATACACGTAATTTTAAACATTTTTTTTTTAAACATTAAACTAATAATAATCACTGAACATCAGCTGTACGTAATAAATAAATAAATTACGTTGTGCTGAGAAAAATAGAAAGAATTACGTAAAATCAGAATATTTGACTTATAAAACTCAATCACCTATATCTAAATTTAACTGAATAAAATATTCCAATTTTTAAATCTAGATGACATATTCTTGAAACAAAAATAATTAGTATATTTTATAGTACTGTGTTTCTTATTCGGAATGGCTTGAATTTATTTGAAATATTCACACAACAATATTACCCATATAATAGAGTCTTTAGGATGAAATAACATGAGAGTCTTCATTTATACAATTATTGAAATTATATATTAATCCCAAAACATTAAAATAATATTAAATGTATTGTGTACTTTTACTATTTACTACAGAAAACCTAGCAGAAAACCTAGAAACCCAAAAAACATTACAAATTTCTATTTTCTATTATTTCTTAGAAAATAATATCTATATGTAATATCTATTATTGAACCAATAAAAACATACTGTAATTGACCAGCGAAGAGTAAACAAACATGTAAAAAATAAAAATCGTTCATAGTAATTAATTCGTGTAAGACACACGCCCGGTGTATCTATATATTAAATAAATAAATAGAAGCAGACTAGTGAAGTGTATTACTTTTATTTATGTTAATGTATATTATTCTCTTTTAAGTAATTACAACATTTTTATAATATTCGTTTCATGATATAAGAATCCCTCGAACTTAACTAAATCAATAATCGACTTCATCATCCCATAAAATTAATAAATACATTTTAAAACTTATTATTGTACAAGATTTATAATCTTTTACTATACTACTGTACATATTATACTATATTTTGTAAATCCCAATGACCTTTTTTTCCAAAAGTTAAGGTAAATAAAAAAATAAGTTTCATTATGTTAATAGGTTATAAACAATATGTATATTGATTTATACATTAAAAATACCACATACGTTTAAATCGTAAAGAATAAGTTACACTAAATAGGCTAGGAAATGGTCACACGAAGGCCTCTCATGGACATCTGATAGAAAAGACGTTCACTCCATTATGACTAACATACAATGTACAAATTACARTTAAACACTTTGTCATTCTATGTCCGAATTTCACATAAGAAACGAATTCTACATTCCAGAAAATCTTTATGAAAAAATCAGGTCATGTTCTAACGTAAATTAATTAATTACTTGTTTAAAAATAATTTAAATATTGTATAAATTCATCTAATGTAATAATAATGTTACAAAACCAAATTAAAATAAGAATATTATAATTATAATTTATAATACATTATACCTTTATTAGTATTTAAACATATATATGGTGTAAAAATCATCAGAACTAAGATATTCTATATTATGTATAATTATTTATTACTTATAGGTACAGAGATAGTGTAAAGTGATAATAATTACAACAACAAAATTAATTACTGTAAAAATATAATTATTTAAATATAATTTTTTAACCATGTATTTCATAATGTATTATATAGTTTTGTAAAGTCATATTATTCGGTGCATAGCGTCCATCCTTATTTTTTACACTATCTTATTATTTTTTTTTTTAAGGAGAACCCGCGGCAACATAGGCCATTCGGTGTGGGGTACGGGCTATTTTTGTATGTTTGTTTGTAGGTTTTTAAGTGGGTAGGGTTGTAACACGTGTTTGTGTATGTGTGGCAAGGATATGTTGCTAAAAATCCCGGGTGGTCACCCATCCGGGAGCTAGCAACTGCGGCCGTAACGTACGCTCTGTGCGTTTCCGCAGATTGAGCGTACGACCGCGCCTCACCAAGCCACTATCTTATTATTATTATTATGGAAGTTGTTGATTTTTTTTATATGACGTAAAATTACAAAGGTTACGGTGTATGGATCATTTTAAAATACCAATATATCATTACTTACTAATTAATACGTTGTTGTACTTTCCTGTTTGATGAAGAAGTATTTAATTAAACAATGTGCTAAAAAAGTATGAATATTTTAACACATTAAATAAATTTAAAAATACAAGTAAAATTATGAACTATGAATAATTCCGCGATCGAGGTGAGTCCAAAACCAACAAAAAATAAAAGATAGTTGGTGGTCGTATTGTGTTCAATATTGTTTTATTGAACTACAATTAATTTGGTGGGTGGTGGATGTTGAGTAATAGGTAGGTACCTAATAAGTATTAAGAAATTTGTTAACAAAATATATACTGTGGCTAAAGTTGTATAGCCATCATAATTTATACTATAAATTTTATAGTAATATATAACATGTTATATGTTTACATCACACGATAATATTGGTTTAAATAACAACATTTTAAACTAATAAAATATATATTTCTATTTAGAAAAAATAATATGTTTTATTTTACTCTGTAACTCATTATAATCATATGGGTTCCTACTTATATAGTTATGTGCAATCCTATGTTTCACCCATTCCGGAATTCAAAATGAAAGCGTTTGCCACTTTAATTTGTGACGTCAACAGGAAGATATAGTATTGAATATTGTGTTAGGTATTATTAATTTTTACTGACATGTCTCGATTACTCGAAACCCCTGATTATTTTTGGTTATATTCGTGAACATCTTTCTCTACAAATAAACACATAACATAATCGGCCATTATATAACTGTACATCATGATTAAAGATATACTGACCGATTGCACAACGAGCTATGATAAGAGCATTAAATGTGGTTCCTGAAGTGTCTTCGTTAAACAGACTGTTGATAAGAATAAACAACTAGTGCTCATCATATTTTTATATTATTATTTCAAGATTATTACTACCTATTTTTCTAACCTAAAACTGCATTTTGTGTTTTCATAGGTCAGGTTAGGTTTGTGTAAGTATCAATTAATGTCAATCATCAAACGCTTCAGTTTATTTTATTGCTACAAATTTAATTACAATGGAGAGCATCGTAATTCAATTCTTATCAGTCAAAAGTTTATATCACTTCAGGTTTAGGGTGTCTCGTAATTGCGCCTCGCTGCGTGACCAGTATATCTTACTGTACATGTAAATTTAAAGCTTTTACACACGTACCATAACAAACGTTCAAACTGAAAAGTCGATGGTATAAATTCGTTAAATGCATTCTAAACTATAATATTGAAATTAATTGTATTTACAGTTATTAATACGATATAATTAATTTCTTTATCAATTATCGACTTAACATCCAAAGTATATCACCGTAGCATTGACTTAACTGTTTGTTGATTTTCATGAACGATGACTGATTCAGACTTACTATGTATAGCAATATTATATTATAGCATAAATTAATTAAACTAAAAAGCAAAATGTTGTCATAATATGTATTTACTTTCGTTGAATTCCCGTACAATTTCACTATAGATGATAAAATAATAAATATTTACTGCGAAACGAAGAAAGCAAGGTCTGGGTCGGTAAGGGTCAACTATATAGTATGTGCGTTACGCAACTAAAATATCAAAGCAGCTTTACATGAAACCGGTTCCGATCACGGAATAAAAATATACACAAACTTATGTGTTACAACTAAAAATCTTACTTCTGGGGAAATCTAAAAAACTATGTATGTGACAATAATCAAATATTAATATTCAACTATATCTAAATATACTTTTATCAGTCTCGTATATTTTTACTTCAAGGCTACAGAATAGTAAACTTTATGATAAGAACTATTTGAATTATGTGAAGTTAAAATTTAATTTATACCTTTCACTTCCACATTTACTATTTAATAAAAAAATCTTATTCATCATTTATTAATATTATTTGTAATTTTGGAAATAATGAAGAAAAGTGTACTAGTTTATGTAGTATAAACATATTTTATTTTATTTCAAATAATTATGATTATCCTCAAAAAAATACCAGATTAATTATTTATATTTTACCATGACAAAACTGTGTAAATTAAAACTTATACTGTTATACTTTTGATACTGTATTTTTTATAATAAAATGTATGCTATTATTGTTTACAATGCTGTAACATAAACGTTATTTAAATAATTTTTTAATTAATTGCTTTATATCTTTAATAATTCAAAACATATAATATGATCAAGGATCTTAGGGTAATAGCTGATCGAAATTAACAACTTATATTATTGGTCTGATGAGTAAAAAAAGCAAAATCTGATTAGGTTTTAATTATAATATTAGGCACGATGTTGCAAAATCAATAACCGTATCAATGTAGGTAATCAATTTGAATTGTATCTTTGAATACAATAATAAGTCGTAGCATAATCATTAATTACCACGTAATACCAATATACCATGGTCTGCCTAATGAAAATCGACAGTGTATTATTATGTACCTACTTATTTTATTATTTACTATTTTGTATGTAACAGTCATACTTCATAAAGGCAACAATATATTATGTACAACTATAGGTAGTTATAATAATTTATTAAACTGAATTACATTTAATATGTTAATTCAGTACGCGTGCGATGAATGTTATAATAAATATCCCGTGGTATCATATATACCTATGTAAGCAGTGTCTAAATGAGGTAACATATTACTTTCATTTCAAGATGACCGGAACTAGCTATATCAGGATAAACGGGTTCTGTAATAACAATATTAACCGAATCCAAACTTTCTCCTACCAAACAGAATAATAATAGATATAATATAATAACATTTAAACTTATCATCACATAACTTACTAATCACGCTTTAAGACATTAAAAATGTTTCGTAACTCTGAGTCGTTTGTTGTTCTTAAAATTTTATGAAATTAGTTCTGCGATTTGACACACACTCTTCGTCATTGCAATAAATCAACTACATTATTATTATTACGTTATTTATTTATTTTTATTTTTTGTTACAGATTTTCGTGTTAACAATTGTCATTTTAGCCCTTAATGGTTGTGTAACGAGAGCCACGTCACTGGATCCTCTCGAAAACGTAGAAATCGACGAAACAAAAACTGATAGAGACGACTCAAGAACCAAGAGGTCTGGGAACATATTTTCATCACTATTGAAGAAAAAATTAGGATTACTCAGCTCAATAACCGGCACATCGTCGGGTAAATCTATTGGTCATTTTGACAGCTATCCAGAACATTTCGAAGAACCATTGGTATGTCATATCAATAAAATTGTAAACTTTACTATAAAGATCAAATCAGATTCACTTGGCTTACGTCAACCGATAATATTCCTTAACCACGATAGTTGTTTGTGTAATATATACGAAATAAACACGATCCTTTATTTCATTTTAGTCTTATAACACAAAATCGTTCAACTTATGGGGCGTTAAAAAAGCGATCATGTCGTCGGTGTTTCAAGCCGCTAAAGCAATAACGGGCGGAGTGATTGCTCTCAAGGGACAATTGATCAAAGCTAAAGGGCACGCAGTCGTTGCCAAAGGTAAGCTGATGCAGACCAAAGGTGAAGCGATCTCGAACTTTGGCAAAACCATTGCGACGCACGCGTTCGACGTCCACCATGAACCACAGCTAGACGTACAACATTCCTCTGCGGGCCTATTCAACCATCTGCCCGTTACGCCGATCCATCAGCCGACAAGTAAATATTTTCCACTGAACGATTTTTCTTTCCTTGCAGTATTTCACCGCATAAGTACCTACACACTATCGATTTACAGGCTACGGAACTGCTACTGCGTTTGGATACCAAGGACAAGCGTACCCGAGCAACGTGTACCAGGGCAACGCGTATCAGAGCAACGCTTATCCCAACACCGCGTACCAAGTCGCAGCTCCCAGTTACCAAACGGGATTCGGAGTGCCACAGACCGGATATGACGGGGGCGTAGGTTACGGCGGATACGGTGGTAATGGATTTACGGCAAAAAGAGCCATTATGCAGAATGCACAGGAATCGACTGTCAAACAAGCTCAAAGTGCATGTAAGTATAAAATAATACGTTTAAAAAATATACATGCAATATACGTCTTTTTCAATGGTTTTTAAGACCCGTAGTCCGTTTTAATTACCAAGTAAACGGTGTTGATGAAATAGGAACACTCATGTTAATATTAACGACTAAAATCTAAAAATATATTCGGTCAGAACTAATACAAAAAAGTTTTAAATAATCGAGTAACTAAAGTAACACATTTATCTATAAGTACTTCTCCAATCGAATTAGAAGTTATAGAAAAAATAGATCAAGGACACGGTTTTATGATTACCAGTTGATTTATTTTGTCAACTGCTAGTTTGATAGTGAGAAATGGATTTTTCTTGGAATGTCAAAATAAATATTAAAACATTGATAACTATAACCATTAACCTATGTATTAAAAAAGCATACTTGATAAGACTTGCCCATAAAGGTTTATAATAGTTTAATTGGCATAAATTACATAAATAACTAAATCTTAACTAAAAACAGAAATGTTAAATAATAAACCTACGTATCGTATGTGGGTTATATAATCCATATTCTCATTCTACAACCGAAACCAGATACTCGAAAGTTTTAATGTATAATAGGCTCGTGATGATAAATTTAAATATTGTCCACTCGTTGACCAGTTATCAGATGGGTATCAAATTTAAATGGGAAGTGAATAATATAGGCTACTGTGTTGTTAAATACAAACAGAGGACCGCGTATACTATAGGCACATTTCCTCGTGTAGTAGGTAGTCGGTGATACTTTCTACAATTTGGCCATTTTGAACGTGATTAGTGTGTATACAGCGGAGTCACGTACGCGGAAAATAAACATGTTTGACATACGAAACCGATTCGGGTTTATATATATAATAAATATATTATACTCATATTATAAGACGTGGATCGTCAAAAACCTGGCACAGCCGAGTCCGGATCCGGATCCGGACATATAAATGTTTATTTTATTTTCAACTTGTTTTGTATTATTATGTATATTATAATAGTTTGTACTTTACTCGTATTTTTGCGCAGTCGACAAAGATTCGGTTCACGCAGGATTGTTGATCTTCAAACCAATCAAAATGCCCGTACAGAACGTTCCGGTGGCCAGCAATCTGGTGGCGGCTCAGAGCACGGCCAACTCACTGCAGGCGACCGGCCAACGGCCGTCTCAGCAACTTGGCGGTTCGTTCAAACCCGCGAGTTCTAAAACGCCACAGCAAGGTTTTGGATTTCAAAAACAGTTTCCAGCCGGTTTCCAAGCATCCATGCAATCCAATGAATACTCGCCAGACTTGAGCCCCGGTTATCAGGCACCGGACTTTAGTTACCAGGCGCCAAACCTAGGTTATCAGGCACAGAACACTGTTTTCCAGGCGCCGAACTTCGGTTACCAGGTACCAAACTTCGGTTACCCATCGAACGGCGGCAGCGTCGAACAGACTGCGGGTCAAGGTTTCAGCGGTGGGCTGCAGAACTTCGACTTCCAGCAGCCGGCCAACAGCCAAGAGTTGGGCCAACAGCTGGCCACGATCTCTGGCCAACAGCTGCAGCAGACGTCCTTCTCGCAGGAGAGTCTTAACGACGACCAACGCGATTTGACTTCGGGCGTGGACGAGCGGATGGCTCAGCCGTCGAACAAACGCGCTGGTCAGGTGGTCAACGCCAAGCGAGCTGTGTCAGGATCGACGGGCCAGTCAACGCCGTCGGTCATCGCGGACTTTGGCGATGGCGAAGGTGTAAAAACGAAAAAACGTAGCGCGGCGCTACCGCCGTCCCATGGTGACGAAATCGTGCCGTTGAAATACCACGACGACTCGACGGCAGAAGACCAAGCCAGATTGAAGCAAACCGTCCAACGGTTCTTCAGCATGCTACAGAAACAACGATGTAAGTATGATGATCTCGTCTGTCATTAATCCACAAGAAAYAAAAAATATATATCGAACAAAACTAAATCGGACTTATAGGTTATCTTATTACGACAACAGGAGAATAATCAATGTATATCAAAAATCAGGGTTAGGTAAAACTGTAACTAGTGTTAAAAAATATATATTAACAGAGAAAATTGATTAAACCTTTACTTTTCAATAGGTAAATAAAAAAAATGTACTCATTTTATTATAAAAATACTATTGAATCTATTAAACTATATTAATGGCTAATAAAAATTAAGTAAAATTGTCCATTACATAGATTAACAAAATAAAAATTATAATTGTAATTTTATTTTAGGAGAGTATCTGCTTATGGACTTAAAAGTAATCTATGGAATCAGAATAATTGTGAGAAAAACCATTCACACAAACCAAACATAGTCGAGAATCATTTACAAACGATTATGTTTACATAGCTAGTCACTTTTATGATGTATTATTTTGTATGCATGTGCAACCAATTGTTTTTATATATATATATATATATTTTTTTGTATTACTTGATCATATTYTTACGTTTATATTAAAACATAAAACATATAAGTTGCTCAAATTCAAATAAGAAAGAATATATTTGATTAAAAAAGGCTTGTTAAGAATTATTTAAAATTATCATAGCAGTTATTTATTAATCATAATTTGTGTTTTGTTTTTTACGTTTTGAAGCTAACGAAAGCAAAAATTATTTAAAATCACATTTTATATTATATTGTAGTAGGTACTCATTTTAAATTATTAACTATTGTGTGTTAGTATATACTATAATATATAGTTTAGCAATCATTAAATACGTTAGATGTAGTTAATTAATTATGGGTTTAGTTATTATACACAACACGTATTGTTTAGAAAATGTTATGGTGTAAATATGAATTTTGTCACAGATTAATAAAAAATGTAAAACTATTAATTGTAAACTGATTAAAAATATTGTATAAAATAACATATAATATATACCCATAATTTTAAATTATAAACATGTTTGTTTATTATTTTTTTTTATTCTACATGTTACCTAAAATCAGTATCTTCTTCTTTAATACTTGCTATAATATAGTAAAATTTTAAATTAAGTGTAAATCATTGGCACAACTTAAATGCAGTGCACTTGTAAGTGGTTCTGGAGAACGTTACCACTAGTTAGATAAATTGATAACTTCTTCTTATCAATACTACGGATTTCAAATGCAAAAGCAATCTCTACACTGGCATAATAATACTACGATTACCTACTTCGATATAATATGGTAAGTATCTACAAGGGTATGTTTTCAAATTTTTCTGGGGGGCGGGGGTCCACAGTTTATACAGGATTAATATTAGCTATGATATCTTGTAACAGTTACATCCCTAAATACAGTTTTTGGAGGGGGTTCAATTAAATATATGCTTATATAGTATGTATGTATATGTATGTATGTAATATTACTTGTACATATTATATATTATTATATTTCACACTAAATATGAAATACCTATTATAAATATATATAAATTATAAATATGATATTACTATAGGTACACTTAAATTCATCAATAATAAGTTTTTCTGTTTGATAAAGTTTAAAATTCAAAAATACGGACACCTTATACCTATTATCTTTAGAGCACTGTATATTAAGCTTTGACTTGAAAACCGTTGTCAGAATAACATTACAATAAATTTATAATTTCTATACTTATTACTTTAAGGTTAAAATTATTCTGCAGGAACATGTATCTGGAGAGGGGGAAATATCAAATTCCCCTAGACACTTCCCCACCACCAGGAAATACGCCACTGAGTATCAAGATACTGATTGCAGTGGCTAAAGGCTACGCTTTTGACCACTAATCCTGATTTGGTATAAGTTAAACTTCCGAACTGCAAATGTGGTATGTAAGATGTAACTCAATGATAGGATTTATTTACGGTATTCTTGACCTGTAGTTAGCCTCATAAGACATCTTAATTCATAAAGCATAAAGGTATGATTAGAGAAATAAAGAAAATGCTTAAAATAATAATCTGATTATATTTCTTTTTAATAACAATTAAAATGTATGTTAGATATATGCAATAATTTTTCTTTAAACAATTAAATCATAATGTACATTGATGTATAAAAATAAAAATTTGATTTTCTTGTAAATGGCTATATTTTTATATTTTTATTTGTAAATCAATATGCGTTTTCTATACGTTATTGGACATACGTATACATCCATTATAAGCAATATTACTCCATATTTTGATCAACTGAAATGTTAAAACATTGATTTTAGCATAGTGTTATATCGTATTATAGGATTGTACCTAACCAACTACCTATAATATTTGTATAAATGCTAAATTTAAATGTTGACTTAGATATCGCCAACTTATTTTCTTTAACATAGGTAACATAGGTAGGTATTTAAAATAGTGTGACTTATAAGTATTATATGTATTGGTAGGTTAGGTAAATATATATACGTATATATATGGTATATGTATGTGTATAATATTATGAAAATATTTCAAAATGTTTCAGACTAAGTAGTTTTTTGAATTTACCTAGGTATCTAACATAATTTTGCAATTAATTTACAAATACTAAATGAAATTGACCGGGCAGTGGGCATTAAAAAAAAATCGTAAAAATATAAATCTCGATTTGGAATTATATGCAATGAATTGGTGGTGTGTTGATATTGATGGGCCAAAGAAGAGAGAAGGGGTGCAACTTTTGTACATTATAAAACGAATATTGTTTTTTATTTAAGTAAGATTGCCATTGGATACTGAAATACAATAGTTCTAATAATTGGATATAATAATTTTAGATATGTTATTTAAATTTGGCTAAAACCACAAAAATTACTGTGTTAAAAATATGATTAGTTTGGGTACATTTAACGAATTGAAAACAGGGTAAATCCATTGGCATTATTTAATTTGTAACGCGTGGGCCATAGGTGAAGACACAGTAAACTCTAAATGGCTCAACATAAAATTTTAATTATATACCTTTAACAGTAAGTGTTCTAGATGCACTTGCTGTTCCATAGCGATTAGTTACGATGCAAGTATAGTTTCCAATATCAGTAATTTTACCGTCACTAAAAAAAAAAATTTTTGTGTTAATTAGTAGGTAATTAGTAATGACAATAAAATTATTAAATGGTGCAGTGATAAAATTGGAATAATTACAATTTATTTACTGTTAGTAAATCTATAACTCTTCAAAGAGATTTCTTGACATGTTAATAGTATAACCTATCGTATCATAGGTTAGCGGATTTAATTTTTTTAGTATTAAATACCAAATGAAATAAAAAAAATTATGTAATTGCTCTTCTATGCGTTAAGGGTCTACTGTACCACGTCATTAAGTAAGTCACTATAATAGAAGTGGTTAAATGGAATTTAGTGATAAATATAATTGCATAAAATAACAATATTGATTAAAGAAGAAGGTAAAAAAATTTGTAATGTATGAAAAAAATAAATACTCCTTTAATCAGTTGTTTGAAAAATCAAGCTTTATTGTTAATCTATCTCAATGATTTTCAATTGTATTGAAAATCTTTGTCATTCTAGTCGTTATAAGACCTGTTCAGATACATTTTTTATCAACAACCTCATGTTCTAAAATCTTCTAAATCAAGCATAATACAAATAAATCTTTAATATTATTGACTCAATGAAAAAAAATAGCACATTCTAACACTTTTTAATAGAATATTAGGAACATATTTAAAGTTTTGAGTATATTAATATCATGTCTTTAGTCTTTACCATAAAAAAACGAAAATGTGTCGACATAAAAATATGGACAATTCGTCTATAGGTATAATTAACTCAATAATCCTTAAATTCGTACGTTATAAATAGTTGTAAATAGTTGGTGAAAATGTTATGTTTTTATAATAGTTATATCTTCGCGAATAACAATCCAAAAAATAAGAATAAAATGGTTAGATTAATATATTACAAGTAACAAAATTTACCATTATTAACAATCCCCCAAATGGTTAACGCTAATTTTCAGTRCCAAATTATCATTATCATTACAATAATAAATTCTGAACTTTGAATTTGATARAACTTACCTTATTTGCAAGTCTCCATTGTCCAGTATTGAATAACGTCCATCTGTTAATTCTATATTGTTTCTTGTCCACTTAACTCGTGGTTTTGGCACCCCAAAATKTTTACAGCCAATAGTAATAGCTACGTCRACATCAAATTCTACCTCAAGAGATGGTTCAGTGATTTCAGGAGCCATAGCTAATTAACAAATAGTTTTGTATATACAATATACATATACCAAAAATTTATAGCTCTGACATATTTAAATAATGTAATATAATTAATAACATACCAAACACATTTATATAAACATCCTTGTAAACATATCCAATACTGTTGGTRGCATTACAACCATAATTTCCAGTATCATTTTTAATCAATGATGTAATTGTTATACTATTAGAAGTAACCGAACGTCTAGGATTTGGTGGTGCTTCASTTAATGGTCGACCATTATGAATCCATTTAATTGTAGGTTCTGGATTRCCACTAGCTTCACACTTAATAACTGCAGTTTCTCCTTCAGCTCCTTCCACAATTTGCGGAACCACCGTGAAATAAGGYACAGCTATCAATTGAATTGAAATAAGTAAATTTGTTTCAACATCAATAATTTAGAAATTATAATTATTCACTAATGTACCCATAACATCCAGCTCAATGTTATATGATTGAGGTGATCCAACACCATTGCTAACTTCACATGTGTATTTTCCTTTATCTTCAAATTTAACTTTCTTTATGACCAAACTTTTTCCATAATTTCCTTGGCTTACCCTTTCATTGGATTGTATAGGCCTACCATCTTTGAGCCAAACAGTTTCTGGTAAAGGACTACAAGTATCAAGTAAAAATWAATKTATAAACTAATATATAGATATAAATTAAATGCGAATTAAAAACTTACGTTCCACCATAAATACAAAACAATTCAACATTTTTACCCAATAATGCTATTTCATTTCTTCTAGTTACATATTGTTGAGTAGGTGGATATTTTTTTTGTAAAGCTGTTTCTRCAGTTTGAGTAACATTCAMATATACAGGATTGCCTAATTTATATTCGCTCCTAATAATTGTAATTMAATTAGATTATTCTTATTTCTATCTAATATTTTAATAACAAAAGATACATACGTTGTCAATGATTCARCATAACAATAATATATAGATCCATCACTAATATCGTGTCTGGTTACATTTGAAAACCAGAGATTACCTTCCGGATCTACTGTTATTCTAGAGTTTTTAACTGGTTTTATGCCACCATTTTTATTCTAATAGTAGGTAAATGAATTGATATTATTTATTATATGTGTGCAAATAGTGTGCAAATAGTGTGTACATTTATATGTATTGTATATATATATTTTATTTACCCTTACAAGCCAATCTACATTTGGCTTAGGCCATCCATATGGAGGATTACAATCAAGTTTAAATGGATCACCTTCTTCAGCTTCAATATAGATTTTTAATCCAATTTTAAATTCATTTAATTCAGTCTTCACAACCATCACAGATTTAGAAGTAGCTATACCCCAAGTATTTTCTGCAAAACATTGATATTGTCCTGTAAAAACAAAAAGTAGTTAATCAATCAAAATGGTAAATTAGTAATTATTCAAAAATAAAACATTCACAATGAATCTAAAACGTATTATTAAGGATTTTGCTAATCCGGTCCTTTGATGTCTGATCTAGCCATTCACACAATACCTGTAAATTCCTCACGAYGTCAGAAAATAAACTGACATACATTCTTAATGGTGGTAAACAATAACGGCAGAAGTTAGAAAAATATATATGGTACAGATATTTATGCATGAACAAAAGGTAGTGCTATCACTGCAAGGCTTCTTACCTCATATATTTTTTTCWTATTTTAATTCGTATAGCTTAAATTATTATTATTCCTTTTGGCACAGATCGTATATTTCTTATGAAAATAAAAATGAATAAATAAATAAGCATACCAATATCTTCATCTTTGGGTTCGGTTATAGTTAATGAACCACGGCCAGGTTGTTGAAAAATTCTGTCATCATATGCTTGCCAATCAAAACTTTTACCATTTTTCATCCATCGATACCTATCATAAAAATTTTAAATGTTAGTGTAAAATGAAATAATACATATTTTAAAAATGTAACTTAAATTACTTTGGAGCAGGTTCTCCTTCTGCTTCACAATCAATTACAAAAAACTCATAATTTTGAGATTCAGCAGTAGGTACTTGAAAGAGTACTTCATCTGTAATAGATTCTTTTACAATTCTTGGTGGAGATTGAACTAGAATCATTAATTAAATTTAACAAAAATTAAATAAATARCATATAAAAAGCATTTAAATGACCTGCTATTCTTCACATACATTTATAATCTGGTTTTTCATACGAATATTTATGGAATTAAAATATGGCTGTAAAAAAATGTTTTAAATTTTAAATGAATTCTGTAAAAATATCACTTCTAGAATTCATATTCATCATAGTATGTTAATTATAATCTTTTTTATTTCAAATTTTACTTATAGTTTTTCKTTGTAATTAATAGTGTAAAAGAATATTTAAAAAAGATAATGTTAAAATATTTATAGTTTGTATTGAACAAGAAAAAAATGCTTGAGGCCAAAACTTGAAATATATGTTTTTTTTTTTCAAAAATTAAGAACAGTCTAACTGAAATTATTGAACATTTCAAGGGTCGTGTTTTTATATATTTAAATTATTGGTATTACTGTATGAAAATGGATTCTTCTCACTTTTATTAAATGGCATATAATAACAATTCAAATAAATTAAACGCATTATATTTATTATAAATCATATATTCAWATTTTATATTTTAAAATATTACATATTTACATCCATACTTTTATTTACCTACGTAAATTTAGCTACTTACTTATAGATGATGTTGTTACAATAAATAAAAATAACAATTCTGCTGAGTATAGTAAATGTAATGAAATTCTATACATTTTGATGTTCTTGCGTTCCAAATATATTAATTRAAGGCTAAAAAACATACAAATTATTATTTATATTATTAATATGATTATTTRTTTTTTAACATAACACCGATAATACAGGATTAAACTACGTTCATAAAAAATAACTGTAGAACAATARTATACCTATATATAGTATATTATTGTATAATTTAGGCTAATGTCAGTTTCATTATCTATAAACATATTGATATAGCTACTATACTACTATAGAAGGTTATTTGATTTGATAATATTTTATATTATTTCAAAGGTTATTGATTTTAATGATAGTCTTGAAAAGCGCCGATCAATAACACATGTAAAAGTATTCCGAATACAATACCCAATACAGATGAATGTCATGACGGTGAATGGTGGTAAACTGCATAGACTTTACACTACTTGACTATTTTTTATGAGTGTATAGAAAGCATACCAACATAGAGGGTGATTTTTATTTACTCTTTTATTTGTTTACTCAAAAGGTATGACAATGAGGACACCGTTTAATCTATTCTGTGGTTAAAAATATCGCAGTGATGTATAATATATAGTCCTGATGACAAAATATAATAATCTATATATCTACCTATACATCTTACGTATTATCCCGCACTATCATACATATGAATAACTTAGAAGAGCKCCCTATATCTTTTTCCGCTTTCCATACACTCATTATTTGTCTAGAAATTGCATGACACATAATTTGTTATATTATCTATAGTTGAGACTTTTTTAAGCGTTATCGGAATCATGAGCTCAGCCGTTGCGACCAAAAAACATTACAGGCAAGGCTTACTCGTCCTCTATGTCAAAAAGTCTACGGTAATACAATACCAATAAGGTAAAAACAACAAAGTAATACATAATAATAATAAAAAATTATACATATAGGTATATATAGAGAGATATTAATATAACTAAATTCCTCCAAATAATCTTATAACTAATTTGACATACGCAATATCACTATAATTCTATCGTGTGCGATTTGCCATATTATTCTGTTTTTTTTCAGTTTGTGTACCTACATGAAAAGTAGTTGGAAATCGCTGCAACACGATTGCACACTTTTTACTTTTCTTACCCGACTAATTAAAGCACGATTACGCTCCGATCCCTTTTTACCTGTCAAAATATTAACCTTATAAATATATTAAAAGCAATTGAAAATATTTGGATATATGCTCCTACCGATACAAGGTAAACTTCTTCATCAAATTAAAAGCTATATAGAAGTACCATAATTATTGCCAGTCGCTAAGGTCGTCTTGATCAAAAGTTCATAGGGTTGGCAGACTTTATACAATACGAATAAAACAAGATTAACCTATATGTTTATCAAAATTAACATTACAATTATAATATATTTTGTAACTAATGTAGGTATATAGTTAATAGTTAATACTATTGTAATTTTTACTACTTATTGATATGATATAGCTACTCACTAATATAGAAGTTTATTTGATTTTATAATAGACAACAGTTCAAATTATTTCTAATGACATTTATTATTAAAAATATTTTCAATTGCATTGATCTGTAAGTAAAATTATTACGAAGTTGATAGTTTTTTTTTTTTTTTGATATTTCAACATAAAGTATTTTTGGACTCAAATGTAACACATTAATGTGAACCAGTACAGTGACTCACTCTATACCTATGTGGAAAAGCGGTACCCACTTKCCCCCCTTTTATAATTTAGTTTTTATATTTTATTATAAATACTCAGTTCTAACTTACAATAAATATTCAATTTGTAATGTAGTATAATAAATTTAATGATTACCTATTTTATTCCACTTGTAATTTTTAATTTGTACTATATTAATTAAATTGGGCACATGTCTGTATTGAATGTTTAAAATAAAAATATAATTTAATTTTTAATATAAGTTAAATTTATTTGGAACATTTTAAAAGGTATTAAAATTAATATATGTATAGGTACATCTAAAAAACTTACTTGTACTAGTTGTACTTGTTGTAGARTGTAGACGGTGTCACAATGATAAAATATAGAAAGGTACTAGCATACTATGCGATATACATTATTAACTACAGGTACCTATTCAAAGACGTTTGCTTAAAGGCAGATAACAATGTGGAATAAAATGATAAAATTCTTCAATCGTATTTACTTCGAGTAAACTTGACGGAGGAAGTAGATAACACCTTGAGAGTAATCGAATTGGTTTCCATTTGAAAAGGTATTTTATTAGGTTAAGTTCCCGTTTGTGTACAGGTAATTTTTAATTTTTAATAATTGTTACAAAATATAAATTACGTAGTATAAAACACGGCTACACTCTAATAGAATAATATTATACAATAAGATGGCAATATATTTATATATTGGACGTTCAACAAATTATCGGTGATACCCCGATCAATTAAGATAACTATTGAGATATATGTACTTTTATCGCTGTATAGTATATCGTCTATATCCTATGTACGAATGACAATAATGTTGGTGCGCAGTGARCACTTGTATAGTCACATCGTATAAATTTGTAATTTTTATTTCGTATTTTAATTTATATTTTTCGTAAATATGGAGTTAATGTTTAGTGAAAAGGRAACTAAGTTGTTGATTATTGACAATAAAAAGTTTGGATTCCAAAAGAACCTAGTAGATGATAACATACAGAGGTGGATATGTACAAAACGAAAATGTAAAGCAAACGTCAAATTGCAGAACGTAGCAATCTCCGTTTTAAAATTTTTTTTTAATTTTAAAATCGATTGTTTATGTGAAGAAGTATTAACACATAACCACGAAAGTGAAGGTGATGGTAAACTTGTGTGACAACAAATTGACAAATTCACTAAAAAGAAAATATTACGAACTTATTTCAGAGCGACCATCTAAAATTATTCGCAAGTCGCAAGGAGATAGCTTCAAACAGTCATATTGAGTCACTACTTCAAAATGATATGAAAAAGTGCCCATCCTAAAATATTTTATTTTATGAAGACTTTAAACAGCATTTAGACATTAAATTATATTAAATTTCGAAGTAATAATACTAGCAAACTTACTAGCGAACAAGAAAAATATAACAAATACTTGGAAGATTGTATGACTGAGTACATTAATGAGAATCTTACGTAAATTGAATACTTAAAGAAAKTTTGCTTCATATTTGCAAATCAACGATTATATTTTATTATTTTTATTWTTTACCTACACCTAGTGATGACTATGGTTGACTTCCAAATCAACGATTTAAAATTGTAAATATTATATCATTTTTTTATAACCTTTATTACGCACATTTTTAACAAAGTCTACTTTTAAGTTGACAGTCCTAAGCCTGTAAAATTGAGAAGAAAAATGTGCGTAATTAAACGGGAACCAATTCGGCTCAACTTAATAAWAYACCTTTTTCAAACGGGAACCAATTCTGCACGTGAGGTTGGAGCTCGGGAACCAATTTGGTACCAGCCAACGCCTTAACTCCATAGAAGAAAACTAGTATATACTTATACTATGGCAGATACATTATTATTTAAAAAACTGAAAGATAATATTATACTCATATATTTGATTAGTTTTATTTGATCACTACAAAACAAATATTACTTTGGAATTTAAATAAATGAAAGGTTATATTTGATTTTTCATATCTGATTAATATAAAAGTTATGTGCTGTAAAAATAGTTAAATAATACTATGTTCAATAATGTTTATTGTAAGATTAAAATAAAGATAAAATTGTCAAAAACCAACACCACTGTTTTTAATGAAACCTCATAAAACACTTTAAAATCTGTTCAGTTAATGAGCAGTCGATTTAATCATTTTGGACGACAGTTTAAAGAATTAATATCAACTGTGCGTTTTTAAAAGATGAAATAAAATATGTAAACCGATCAAAGAAGAAAAGGTATAACTTCGTGATAAACTATCATCATTAAATTTGTCCTTGTTAATAATATTTTATAACAAAATATGGTTAAATGTAATTTAAAAATAGTTGGAATACCTACTTACCAGAGATTGAAAAAGAAATTTTTCCAACACTATGTACAAAATTAGTTGAAAGTTGTTAGTTTGGTATAAATGTTTCAAATAATGCAGCTGTTTTTGGATTGCTTTCAAGTATTGTGGACACATCTAGAAAGCCATTTGTAAACTGTAACTTAATTAATAATAAACTTAAAATTATGTAACTTTCTGAAAAACATGAAATGGTTGAAAACGACAAAGTTTAAGGATTCAAGTTTAAATTTCAATAATCAAAAGATTTCACGGAACAGGAAACTATTTTATAAGGCAACTGGAAATAACTACCGTAAAGGATTAGATCATAAGAATATTTTGTTTAAAAATGATTAAATGGCCATCATAAAAATTCTACTGTGTTTCTACACTTCTGTGTAATCTTATAATATATCCATTATAGCGAAAATGGTAAAGAAAAGAGGCAGTTTTAAGTAATTTTGTAATTAATGGCACAATTTATGATTTATGAAAGTATCATCATGCAGATAGATACAGCAAACATTAATTAATATTTTGCCAATATCGGTAAAGTATGTATAATCATTGAAGAAGCTTATTATAATAAATTTAAATAATTTATCAAAAAAATTAATACACCAAGTCGGGCAAGTAGGTTTTTTATTAATAGTACATTTCATAAAAAAAATTTAAGACTTTAAAATACTTAATATATCACATAAATTCAAACATAAAACAGCTAATGGTTTCAATAAAATATCTGTGAAACTATTAAAGCACATATTAAAATCTTATTATTGAGAATTTAATGTTTTCTGAACAATTTAAAACCTTCATTGTTAAACCATTGTTAAAATCAGTTAACAAAGATAAAATTTCAAACTATAGGACTATTTCAATGCACAGTAATTTATCAAAAATGTTTGTTACTAGACTTGCAACATTTTTAAAGAGTAATGGACTTTTCTATACCAACCATTTTGGTTTCAGACTCAATAAAAGTATGTTAAGAGTTTTTTATCTGATAACCAAGTTTACATTACACAGCAAAAATGACCGTAGTGAAAATTTAATAGTAATTTTTTTAGTCTTAGCTTAAAAATTTGATACATCCTAAGTTATTATCATATTTAAATTTCATTCATACAATTTAAAGGTTTAAATATAATCAAAATGATTAATTTATGTTAAAGTAAATGCTAACATTTGATTTAATAGCTATAGATTGATATTTTTGAAATTGTATTTAATTCTAGTTACGCCGTTGCTTAAAGTTATAATAAAATACATTTCAAATATAACGGTTAATATTTATAAATCCATTGTAATTAAATATGAACATTTCCAGCTGTATCCCAACTAAGACTACAAAACTTATATTTTATACACTATTTTTTGTTATAACGCAAAAATAGAAAAGAAATAAATAATATGAAAATATGAATAATAAAATATAAAATTATAAATATGAATAAGAGTATAATTATATACATATAACTTTTATGTAATACATTTTATATTTTATTGATATTATTTCAAACAGTAACAATAAGCATTTAASTCGGTATAAAAACATTTAACTAACTAACCAATTCGATCATTTCTTTTTACACAGATTACCGTCACAACACAATGATATAAGAAATCGATGAATAAGTAATCAATCAATATCATTATTATTTTCATATTCTAGTCTAATTTTAGCCATATATATATATTATTTGACTGACTTTAGAAGTAGATATTTTTTATTTTATTTTACTAAACGAAATATACCCTCGGCGATATAGGCCTAGAAGTAGATATTGTATTGTTGGTAATTGGTAGACGGTAGTATCCAGTAATTTTAATAATAATATATTAGATT